AACTACAGTTAAAAGAAATCAGTTCAGGGAGTTGGCGTTTGATTCAGTTCTTCCTATCGCACTCCTGCAGTGATTATTTCCGTTCTTTTCTCCAGCTTAAGGGCTTGGTTCTAATTCTACTGCTCGTTCGATTCTTTTCGCTCTTTGCTCCATCCTCGCTAACGGCTCCTGATTCACCTCTCAATCCGGATCAATTCATAAAGGTTATTGTTAGTAAATGGCGAGGCATAAAAAAGAGCTGATACATTTCAGTGAGCGAACGGTTCTGATCGGACCCCTGAAAGAGAGGTTTTGTCCATCTCTAGTACATATGTTTTTATTTAAAAAAATTATTATATATTCTGTATATTAATGGTTTGTTAACTTTATGTTTTAGTTTCTTTGCATTGCTACATAGCTAATGTTTGTGACAACAGGTCTTTTGTGCAATTCGCCTTTAAGGATCTCAGGAATTTAATATTTTCTTGTTTTTCTATATATATATTTATAATTTTAATCTAATTTATTTTTTGAAAATTTTTTTTCAGTAGCTGAGTTTTTAAAATGGTGCTCTTTACTGACTTCAATCTAAATCAGTATATTAATATAATAAATTTATATCTTACCCAGGATTCTTTTGAAGAAGTACAATTTATAACTGCGTAATATTTTGCACTTCAAAAATCAAGTCTTTCCAGCTTAATGAAGAAGTTATTAAAATTCAGTAGTTCTCATTGTTCTTAGAAGAATTATTTTAGTTTCACAACAAATAGCAATTTCAAGTTAGTGATAAAAAGGTTTCAAATTGTGATAGGGGAACTTACCTGTATGTTTTCATTTTATTATGAAACTAAATAATATTAAAAAATACTTTTATTCTATCTCAAATTTATACCACTAAAACGATTAAAAGGGAAAAAAATCCGTTATTACTATTTTATGCATTGCTTTTGGAAAGTAATACCATAAAACTCTTGCCTCTGAAATGAAAGTAAATATCCACAAAAAAGCAATGCCTGTGAAGTTTGTAAAATGGCATATTTAAAAACTTAAATTGAATTATGCTTATTTGGACAATGTGAAGTAAAGAAAAATGTGTATAAAATGATTATAATGAATTTTAATGGAATCATGCATGATTCCAGCTTAGTAATGAATAAGAATGGTAAAGAAACTGTAGTTTATTGATTTTAAATCGCTTAGTCTGTTAATTAATAATAGAAAAAAATTGAAAATAAAAATTAAACAACTTACTCTTTACGGAACGACTGCACACTATCCCATGGAAGATATATATATATATATATACATTTGTAAATCGCTGAGTTCTTATTAAATCAGATAGACTGCATTTTGTCCAGTGGCAAAACACTTATTTTATATTGCTGAGTGTTCTGATTAAATTTGAAAATAAAAATCTTGCCGAGTGGCAACACAAAGCCTTTTTATCGCTGAGTTTTTAATCAAAAATTCATTAAATGCACACAAAATACGAAGAAGGATGAAAGATTACGTATGTTCAAAATTTCGTGGCTTTAAGTGGCCCCGCCCCCCCCCCCATTGAGAGGAACTTAAAATATGCATATAGACATGCATACAGTCTTTCATTATTTAATAGAAGATAGTTTTGTGAAGTAAATTAAGATTAAATAAATTTTGCTTCCTCGCCGCTCCGAAAAAAAATAATCTAAAATCTTTTGTGCTCTAAAATATATTGAACAAGAAATAATAATAAAAAATAAGAAATAAAAAATAAATCATAGGACAGAACAAAAATGAGATAGCAATTATCTAAGCATTTTAAACTTTATCTTTTATGTTGATGAATTTTTGTGGAAAAACTTCTCATTATGATTAGATCAAAATATATCTGCGTATAAAATTTTGTTATTAATAACATACAAACACACACACGCCCACACATATTCATGTACACTGAGCACAAAACAAAAAAAATTAAGTAAAATATAATAAAATGAAAAGTCTGATTAAATTAAAGTCTGAAAGGTTTCAGATTTTAAATTGCGACCAAAGGGGCGGTTTTTAAAAATTTGTGAGCTACCTTTATTTCTGAAATATCATGTTCTTCGTACTTAAATCACAAAATTCAGTTCAAGAGCAGTGTCGCAAAATAATTTTAAAATGAGCATATCTTTAGAGTTTCCGATACATAGTCTTGCGTGCTGGAGATAACTTTTTCCTATGCAAAGTTGCCATTGCTCACTTTGAAATCCTTAAGCCTATTAATCAAAAATTTATTAAAGTTTTACAAAATATAAAATTGATAAAAAAAACAAATTCCAAATTTCAAATTTGGGCTTCCAGATGACCATAATCGCAGGAGGATTACGTTATTCAAAATTGGATGGCTCTAGGTACCGTTGTTTTATCAAAATGCGAGAAACATACACACCTTTATGCAGATTCTTCATTATTTAATTTCTTTAAATGTAATACAGGGCGATAATATTTGGCGGTAACAACTTGAAAAGTGAAACTACGCTTATAGTGAATCAACACAAAATGCCAAAGCGAAATCAATAGTCCTTCTGTGCAATTTGCTCTTTTAGACTTTAAAAAAAAAAAAAAAAAAAAAAAAAAAAGGACAGTTCTGTATCTCTCTATAATATGCTGGGCCTATTGACAAAATTCAAATTGGGTTTTTCATGTCTCGAAAGCGCGACTTAATATATGTTTAAAAGATTCATTATAGCATTATTCTAACATAGGTATTTTGACAAAATATCGAACTTTTTCTGAAAAAACATACCAATGTTTTTCCATATTTCGTTTCTACGACTCAAATTATGCCTAAATACTAAAAACGCATAAATACAGATGAAACATGCCTAAATACAATTATGCTTAGAAATAAATCTACTTTAAGATAACGGTAAAAATTTGACAGGTTATAATTCAAAATGTGTTTTCGAAAAATTTATAAAAAATATTTAAAAATAAATCATAAAAAACGTGCGAATTATGTTTGGATTAAGCTTAAATTTTGACTTTTGAAAGAATGATTCAAGTAAGTTTAATAAAAAAGAGGTATTAATAAATGTATACCAAATTCGATCCACATTCAGGAGCTAAAATTTTGAGAGCTATTAAAAACTACTCGTGCGATTTTTACGAAACTTGGCAGTTTGGCATAATTGAGTCATAGAATCGAAATATGCTAAAAAATTGGCATCTCATTTCAGAGCAAGTCCAATTTTGAATCAAAATACCTATATTAGAGCAATGCTATGTATAAATCTACTATGTATCCTAACTCGCGCATTCGAGAATGAAAAACTCAAGTTGAATTTCGTCAAACGGCCCAATAGAATGGGAGTTGCAGAACTGTCCCATTTTTTTCCTTTTTTGCGCAGTGTAGATATATATATATACTACTTATAACAAAATTTTATATACAGGCCTCTGGGATCACTATTTTGTGTCCCAATCGTTGTATATCACTGATACCCAGAACAGTGATTACAAAGCAATACAAATTAATCTAACTATTTTGGTTATTAAATAACATAAAAGACGAGGAGGGTTATTTGTTTGCTCTACCGCATTCCCACTCCCCTTTCTTGTTAATTTTATCGTCTGAAAATCGAGAGGAAAAAATTGTGCGAATAATTTAATTTCCGAAAGATGTTCCGAAGGTTACAGTAAGAATATAACAAATAAAAAATAGTCACGTTTAAAATACGGCTATCTAATGACAATATTATTTCTTAAAATTTATTGGATTCCCTTCCCTGAACACATTGAAAATAGAGAAATTATGCGAATTTTTAAACCTGGGGCTAAAAGGCTACGAAGGGAATACGATATTTCACCTTAAACAAGAATAGTCGGAATACAAAATCTAAATATGTCGAACTCTTAATTTTAGCCCCAAGGGGCAGTAGCACACAAAGGCTAATTATCTCAAAACGGCATTTTGTGACGTTTCACTATAAACTGCGAATTATTTTTTAAACTGCTGCAACCAATAATTATTGCCCTTTATTATATTTAAAGAAATTAAGTAATGAAGAATCCTCATGAGTGTATGTATGTTTCTCCCATTTTTAAAAAATGACAGTACTTAGAGCCATCAAATTTTGAATAACGAAATTCTACCTTCGAACATGAGTACCTGGAAGCCCGAATTTTGAATATCGAATTTGTTTTATTATTTCATATTTTATAATCTATTTTTTATTTCTAATTTATTTCTATTTCATATTTTGTAAAACATTAACAAATTTCTAATTAACAAACTCAATAATTTCAAAGCCAGCAATGGCAACACCGTATGGAAAAAAAATTTACCTCCTTAACGCGAGACTGTCTAACGGAAATCTAAAGACATGGTGTTTTTAAATATTTGTGGTATCGGTGTTGAATTAAATTTTATGTGGCTTAAGTGTGAAGAACATGATGCATGATAATTAATAAATAAAGTTAATATATAAAATAGTAAAAAAACCTCATTTGGGCGTAATATAAAATCTGAAAGCTTCCAGATTTTTGGTGGGGAAGGCGCCAAATGCTAAATGATGAATTTGTGCTTTCATATCAACAGATTATTTTTTAAAATACTCTATTTTGCAAACATTCCGCGAACATAATTTTGAAAGCGAACAAAGTGAAAAAGGTGGAAGGGTTTGAGTGCGCTATGTGTTCAAAATCGTTTGTATTTTAAAAGAAGGGTAATATTTCAGACTCTGAAAAGGAAAGAGGAAGTGCCAAAACGTCCGTGTCTTGTTTAGAATTCAAACCTAATGAGAAATCAGCCTCTACTATATCTTTACCATTCTCAAAATAAGAGTACTTAATCGAAATTATGTATTTCACATATTATCGATTGTGAACTTTTCACATATTATCGATTCTGTTTCCTGAGACATAAAGAATCAGGCGTCTGCAGTCTTTATTAGATGGTTTGAAGTGCTTTGAAAGCATAGTTTGCTATTCTGTGCATTAAGGCTACATAGTAAGCAATTTGGCTTTAGCTGAAATGTTTGAATTTATTTTTATAGATGTGTGTTGAGTTATGCATTCAAGAAATATCCAAGGAATCATACTGCGGACCTTGCCTATCGTCGGAAATTTATGTGGATGGTGCATTTCCTCTTGAGGAAAGATGTAATGGTGAGTGTTACTTTTGAACTCTAAATGATTGTTTGCTTATGACTGATGAATATCTGAAAGCATATTTTAGATATTTTCATATACTTTGAATTCAGATTTGCAAGTTTCTTTTGATATACGGAAGTAAAGCTTTTCTGTGAAAGTTTAATTTGCATAAGACGAATAAAATGATAGTAATTTATATGGGAAACTATTCTGAAAACTTTCAGACCTCTCCTCCAAAAACCTTATTTAATCATACAACTATGAAAATGTTAATGTACCTCAAAAAAAACTTTTTTTTTTAAAGTTACATAGTATTGTTACAAAACTGTACAGAAAATCAGGTGAAACAATTTAGATATTAACCTCCCATTAAAGGATTTGTTAACGATCAGGTCTTGGACTCCCTTCTGCTAAGACTTTTATTTTCGTCTATTAAACTTTATTTTAAGCATAGCATTCCCCTCACTTACCCACATAAAATGTTACGCCATGCTTGTACATAGCGTTTGATAATAAATTTATTTTGGGTTTTACTCCTGTCTTCTTTTTTGAAAAAAAAAAAAAAGAAAAGGTTGAAAAAAAGAACATAACGAATACAGAAAAACTGAGATTTCAAGGTTGGGGGACGTGCTTCCAAAGTCTATTAATGATATAATTTCAAAGTTCTTCACTTGAAACGTATACATTTCCCTCTTGGAATGAATGCCCCCTTCTGGAAGTGCTTGTTTTATTTCACCGAGAGTTTATAATATCCCTTATTATTGAAGTTTTACATATGTTGGTCAAATTAACAAAGAGCTGAATCTTTTTATTTAAGTAGGTGATTACGTCTTAAAGGATTGCGGTTCGAATTTCAGACATGCTCCACCATTATGCTCATTATATAATTTATCAGGTTAATGATTTTAAATCAAACAACTGTTTCGAAATCTTTATCGTATAACATTTTATCTTTTCATCTTTATTTTTTGCACATGGTGCTACAATTTTTATCTCTTACTTCGAATTTTTATATTGTGTAAATACTTCGTATGTTTCCAAAACAAAAAGGCTCAGAATTATTATTCGTGTTTAAAGAAAGAGTGTGTCATATCATTTTCCCTCGAAATGCATGAAGAATTTCTATCAAATAAATGCTGATTCAAGAGTGAATTTTGCATAAAGTATAAATTTTATGCGCTTCTTTTACAAATATTGTTATACACATTCAGTGGCGCACACGTTATTTTTTCAAGGGCAGGTCCGGGGTCGAAAGTCCACCATTCGCCTATCATACCCCAATACGCTGCAAAACATATTCTTTTGATTTTATCGATTGTCGGGAACAAAATACAGTAAAACAATTATTTGAATAATTAATTAACATTAATTAATAAAATAAATTTTCAATAACAAATACTTAATTAAATTACCAGAAAGCCCAAGAATTTAGTATTTGCTTTTTTATAGTTAAAAAACAGCAAATCAAATTCATCATTATAGAAAAACCAAGTTATAGGACAAGAAAAATATCACTTTAATCTGTATTTACAAAACTAAAATTATGATGATTACAGTGTTTCCATTTACAGTCACCAGTCTGCTTCTTGTAGGCTTGCAAATAGTCACAGAATAACATCTAGTTTTCTTGTTTTCTTTCTTTCTTTTCTTTTCTTTTTTTTTTTTTTTTTTTTCCCGATTTCATTTATAGCTTCCTCAGGAGTGATGGTGACGTTGCTTGAATTCAGAAAGGCAAGGCCATTTTAAACGTTCAAACGTTCATTATGCATGGTACTTCTTAAGTATGTTTTTAACCTTCTCTAAGTCGGGAAAGAACTCCCGCTTGTGCAATTCGTTACGGGAAGAATGCACAAAATGTTTAAAAGTCTTTAATAGGAGGAGAAAATTCATTACTGCAGGACAAATAATATTCAAATTCGGATGGTGAGGAATCATGTTTAATGTCATTTTAAAGAGTTTCACCTCGGAAAGTAAAGCATCTCTGTGCTCTAAAAATAAAGGTTTGCCTTTTGAATAAAATTCAGCCAATTTCTAAAACTCATTTACATTTCCTGCATTATAAATTGGGTTTAACAAGTATGAAAAGTTTCCTTAAAATAGTATTTTGCTTCTGCAAATATAGTTTTAATTGCGAGACCATGTTGTTTATGAAATGTAGAAAAATGCTTCGCCTATAGTATTCTTCGGGATTAGCAGCTGGGACATTATTATGATACCGGTTAAAACTGGAGCATTTTCCGGCATGGAAACCTGGGCATTTTCAATTCTGCGTTATTTTCTTTTGAACTTTTCAATAATTTTTCAGCTTCTCCTAAAAATACAATCGACATTGCTTTTAAAATCTTCGAGGTTTTCAGCTACTGACTTTGCGCAATTTAGAGCTTTCTTCAAATCATTTAACATACAGCAAACAGCTTACTTAAACGCAACAGCGATATTAAGAAACCTGATTTTAATAATGAGGCATAAATTAAAGATGCAGGAGTTGAGTCGTCTCTGTCTTTCCAAAACGAAATTTCTTCAAGGGCTGCTAAAACGGCAGCTCTCTCGAAAATTAAAACCTAGCGAAAATAAGTACTTTTAACAAAAATAATGGAAATTTTTAATGAAAATTTAAATATAAATAAATGAAAATATAATAAATTAGAAAGAAAAAATAGGAATAGAACGTTCTTTTCTTTTGTTTAGTAAATGGGTTTCTTTGGTTTGGCGCGATTGGAGCCGTCTGTTGTGGTCAACGGGATTTTCCGTAAGTACCCTTTTTTAATACACTGCTGGCAACTCAAATTGCAACGCCAAGAAAGACAAGAGATATCACAAAAAATATATTTAGTAGATAACATGTTGATTAAATGTCAAATGATTAAATTTGTAGACTTCTGTGAAGTGTGTTTCCTTCCAGAATCAGTAGCCAGAGTAGCCGCCATTGTTGGAGATCACCGCTGCCACACGCCTCGGCATTATTTCAAAGAAACTTTGGACGTGTTTTGGGGGTACAGCAGACCAAGCAGCTTCCAAACGTTGCCAAAGTTGATCTGGTGTGGCAGCTTGTGATGTAATCTGCGTCAATCGTTCAGCAACCATGACCACATGTTTTCTATCGGCGAAAGATCCGGAGAGCAAGACGGCTAGGGAAGCCATTCAATCTGGCGATTGATGAAGAAACCCTTGGACAATGCGTGCCACGTGTGGTCGCACATTATCCTGTTGAAATATGGCTGTGGGCAAGCCCTAAAGGTAAGGAAGGAGAACTGGCTCCAACACCTCGGAGATGTAGCTGGCTGCTTAAAGTACCGGCAATGCGTATTAGAGGAGTGCGAGAGTGATATGCAATACCGCCCCATACCATAATACCCGGTGTAAGACCAGTGAGGCGGAGCATAACGCAGTTGTTCAGCATTCTCTCTCCACGGTGTCTCCAGACTAGAATCCGACCATAGTGGTGTTGCAGACAGAAGCGTGACTCGTCAGTAAAGACAATTTCATTCCATTCTGCCGTCCACATCCTTTTTTCATCGCACCATTGGCGGCGGAGACTTCTGTGGTTCTGCGTCAAGAGTAGATGAAGCATTGGACATCTTGCGGACAGACCACTCTGCTGTAAAAGGCGTCGAATGGTATGCGCAGACACTGGATGATGCGTTACAGACTGAATGTGCTGTGCTATGGTTCGTGATGTGACTGAGGGATCTGTCACTGCCAAGCGCACAATCTTCCTGTCATCACGTGAAGTGGTGCACTGAGGAAGATACGATCGAACACGTCGGTCCGTCGTACCCTCCTTCATTCAACGGTCACATATCCGCATTACAGTTGTTTGGTTTCGTCCAACACCACTACCGATTTTCCTGAAAGATAATCCACACTCTCGGTAGGCCACTATCCTTCCTCTGTCGAACTCGTTTACTTGACCAAACGATGATCGCTGTTTCCTACGAGGCATAATTGATCGTTTTTACTTCCTTGTACGAAGTAAAAAGGAAGTATTGTAATCGCGAAAAGGTTCAGGCAGCATATTTCAACGAAAATATCCCATTTTGACCTCTTTCAAATGCAATTTAACAATGTATTTCCGTGATATATGTACGTAAGGACAGAATAAAAGACTCTTTTCCTCCAAAAAAATTATAAAACTGCTTTAAAATGAATTCTGAAGAGAATTTTTCGTGGCGTCTGTACGAACGTATGTACGTATCTCGCATAACTCCAAAACGAGTAGCCTCAGAACGTTGAAATTTTGTATATAGGACTGCTATAACATGTAGATGTGCACCTCGTATTTTGGTTGCAATCGGCCGCACCAAAAGTACATAAATATATTTATATATATATCCACTCTGTTACCCGGCTCAGTAACCTCAGTTTCTTTACTCTTATATGTTCGTAAATTGTACATTTTTTGCTTTAAAAAATGATTGAATTATGTTGTTTTTATCTTCCGGTTAAGGGTTTTATGCCTTTAGTAAATCTGTATGCAATATTTTTAGAATTATCAACAATTTTAAAATTGTTAAAGTCATGATTTAAGTGCCGCTAAGCCTAATTTGATGGCGGCCATTGCTCTTGTTTACATTTGAAACAGCTGAGTAGCGGATTTGTTGCCAATCTAGAGAAACTTAGCTTCGCAACAACAAAGATAACGCCTTCATTTATTATTTAAATCATGTTTAATCCTTTCTGGAATTTTTTCGAGGAAATAAGAGTTTAAGATTTACTTCGTAATTTTTAATACAGATATTTTGAATTTTTAAGTATTTTTGCCTTGTCGCGAAGTGAGAACTGAATTAATTGAATGAGAAATACTCAATCGTCTGTGAAAAACTGTTTCTTTTTTGTTTTGTTTGCTTAATTTCTTTTATACATCGTTCTAGCTTTATTATAGTATTTGAATAGAACATGTGGCAACGATTAGATAATTCTTTAAAGGATATAAATTTTGTGCATTCTGAGTTATAATATGAATCAAATATAATACTTTTAAGTGAACCTAGCGCCAGAGTGTCGCTATGGTAAACTGAATTTTAAAGAATGCATTTATTCTATTCTGGTTTATGCGGTGTCGGCGAAGTAGGTTTAATTCAATCTAATAAGTTTAAATGAAATGCAAGAAAAAATGCGTATAATTTAATATTCCGTACAAGGAAGTCATGTGATGTACACATCAGAATTTTTTTTTTTTTAAACCACAAGAAAAACACAATTGCCGAATTTAAAATCGTCGAAAATTCCAAGCCTTAAATAGCGCTTTGAAGTGGCGCCATAGGCGCGCGTGATGTGCGTTTGCGCTGAAATTCTAATCATTTGCATATCTCACCTCCGCTAATGCATATTGTAAATTTAATGTTATTTGCATGCTTCCTTCAGGGTGTTGCATTTACAGTGGCCAGCAGTGTATAATTTCATTGATTGGTGAAATTATTTCGTTTTAGGTTCTCCAACTGATGTAAACCGTTCTCCAACTGTTTTGATTTCTTCAACTGTGTTTCAAATGTTTTTCTAGATCATCGTCTCCAGCTTCTACACGAAATGTTTTTTGCTCTCGAAAATTTTCTTCATTTTTATTTGTTTCCTCGGTTAAATTTAAGGGACCATAATCCGAAAACCCTTTTAAAGCAATTCCTTTCATTGTTTACCTCTGAAAATTACAGTTTTAATAACAGAACAGAACATCTGCGATTTTTAGATTTTTAGATTTTTAGATACTAACGATAGAATTTTCACTAATTTTTTCAAATTTGAGTAAATTTCGAAACATTGTTGGCAATATTTTAATGAATCGTGATTTTTAAAGTATTCTACAGCGTGGTTCCATTTTCTCAAAGTTTCTGATATTAATTTTATAGTGCTCTGTTTTTTGTGGGCACCTACTTCTTTCGTTGAAAATAGAACACAATATTTGCAAAAAGCAACATCAATTTTTTGAGAATATAGCAACCAATGACATTCCGAAAACCACTGCATTTGAAATTTCAGATTTTTTCATTATATAAGTGTAATTGGAAAAATATAATTTTTATCGGGTTACGATATTTTTCTTAAAATATCAATAACCTCAAGATTTGTTACGGGTCATTTAATTTTAATGTAATTCGCTATATGAAAATCAGTTACTGTAATATTGGAAACTGGAGTTTGAATATTAGTTTCATTATTTTGGCTGCAACCCGGATACCTTAAATTTCCCGGATACCGGATTTTCCCCTTATTTCCATTTTTCCTTGTCCATCATCATCCAAGACCTTTTCAGGCTAAGGAAAACGAGCTCTCGAGTAACAGCACGTAGTTGGTGTTACTCGAGAATCTTCTTACACTTTATCTTGCTTTTCATCATTGCTTTTTCAGAATATTTTGCTTTTCATCATCACTTTTTCACAAAAATACACTTACTTTTTCACAAAAGCCAATAATGTGACTTGTTTTCTTTTACTATTTTGATCATTGAAGTTTACAATATAATTTTAAAATCATATTTTTATGACTTGAAAATCAAAATGGATTTAGGCTGCACTGAAAGATATGCGCGTTACATGGTCATGTAGAATCATGATATACAAGTGTAATGAAATAGCTTTTGACTTTGTTGTCACGTGGACTTACCAGTGCTACGTGGTGAGATGACTCAACTTTTGACCTTGTTTGTTAACAGGACAGGGAGGAAAGATGAAAAATCCCCTCAAGAATAGGACTACAGACTACAATATAGGAAGCAAATGAAAAGTTTAGTTCTGAGAATAAGAGGGTGTTTTATGTTCACATGCAGTTCCGTTTTGAAAGGGATGAAAAAGAGAAAAGACTTTTTATTTTTTCATTTATTAGAACTGAAATTATTGTTACCTTTATTTGGAATTATTTCACGTACTATATACATACGATTATAATCAATCGAAAAAAGTCAAGAGCAATGGGGGAGTCAAGACCCCACTTCGTGTGCGCCACTGCATATATTTGCTTTATTTTAACAAGTTTGTATTTCAAGTTGGTGTTACTCATGAAAGAAATTTGATAATTTTAGAAACTTGTGATGCTTACTATCATTATTCTTATGACGAAGAACGAAAATTTTATGAAGACAAGAAGTATTGTTCTGGGATTTGCAAAGAAGACTGCCTGTAAGTTGCATATGGAATATATTATTAAATTAACATATAAGAGTTAATGATATGAATCCAGTCGTTATATTGATGCATTTACGGATGAGATGTAATTGAAAAGAAAATATTTTTTTTTAGCCCAAATGCGCGTTAGTGCACTAGGGATATTCGTCTTGAAACGGCATTTAATGTCGAATCCCAATAAATGGTTGTATCACTTTTCAAATTTTTCCTAGAAAATATTATGGCCCAGTGTTATATTTAAAGGACTAAATAATGAGGAATCTACATGAATATATGTATGTTTCTTGCACGAAAAAACAACGATACATCACATTTTGAATAACATTGTTCTCCACCCGAACATGGACACCCAGAAACCCGAATTTGAAATTACGAATTTGTTTTATTGCCTATTTCCTATTTTGCAAAACTTTAACGAGGTTTTGATTAAAAACTTCAACACTTTTAAACTGAACAATGGCAGCGCCCTACGGAATAAAACATTTTCACCTCCAGCGCGCGAGATTGTCTATCGGAAATTCTAAAAATATAATGTTTATAAATGTTTTTATTCCAATGTGGCGTTAACCCAGATGCTCTCGAAACATGGATGTGTTTGTAAATGAATAATAGTCTGTTTGGGCCTAATATAAAATCTGAAAGATTTCATTTTTTTTCTTTATAATTGATGCAGAATTATAGTCATTATTACTATTTGATAAAATAAAAATGCAGTGTACTCTCGATTATTCAAGGTAATGCCTGGGAACCAAGTCACGAATAATTGAAAAACATGGATAAGCCAGTTTACGAATTTTCATGCATGTTGTATGTGTTTATTTCTTAAAAACGAACATGAAGAACGAATTGCACAAGGTAAAGGTTGAAACTAATCCTGAAGACTGAATTCAGCGGTTTTTACACTCTCTTACATAGAACAGGATGTGCATGGATACTGCTACGAACGGATAATCCTCACTCGGATAATCGACAGTACAGTGTGTTTTCGAGCAAACAATTATCAAACAAATAGTAAAACGACTTTATTTATTTATTTATTTTTTTTTTTTTTTTTTTTTTTTTTTTTTTCGTTTAAGTAAATACAAGTATACCTATTTAGTGGATGAAGTTCTCCCGGTAAGTATTAAAATTTCTGAAATTATTTCTTATACAAAATAAATAAAAAAATTTTAATTCTATTTATAATACAGAAATGTTACTATTATTACTGTTATTGCTTTGGCGCAAGTCAAGCTGCGTCAATCAGTTTACGTTTATGCTGAAATACTCATTTATGTAGAACTAAGATAGACGGTAGAAGACTGTTAAGGATTTATCCCTAAGTACTACAAAGCACGGAAAAGGTGGAAAGAACTCTTTATTAACTCAAATAAAGTTCACAGATGGCACCAACTCGTATTTACAAAAACTAAGCAACACTTTTAGCTTAGCCCAAAAAGGTAATGAATAACTTAAAATTAAATGGAAGTTAAATTAGCCTAAAAGCTTCACAGGTAACACTCAAGCTGTGTCCGACCGACACCACCGAGAGTTAAGAAGGCCGTATTACTGAAAAATAACGTCTCGACAAGAAGACCCCGTAACTTCGAGTGCGGGGAAGAAATGCTCATTGCTGTTGAGTAGAAAGATATAACTTCCTTTGCCTCTGAAAGCGACGTTTTGGCTAGTGTTCTTTTAATAATGGATGTTATTTTTTTGGCTAGAGAATTACAGAAAACGATATAGATAAAAGGAAACTGTTATTCATTGTATTCAGATGAATAATATCATATCTTGTTTAGTCATGTTTACATCGAACAAAAATTTAAAATTGATATTTTTCTAGATTTTTAGAAATTTCTATTTAGTATTTTAAAACTTTATATAATAATTATCGCCTTTTATCTAACTAGAAAGCAAAGTTAACAAAGTAATATTCAATAGATTACTTCTAACAAACATTAAAAATGAGAAACATATTTTTAAAGTGTCTAAACTATGTTTACAAAAATTACCATTAGTTTTATTAATCCCAAATCCCCACGTTCATGAAAAGAAAAGAATGCAAAAAGTTTTGCGTGAATAAAATTTTTATTAGCATTTCAAAGATTATAAAATATTAAAAATTCACAAAGAAAAAAGCATACTCTACGTAGCAGATGAATGACATAAATGTGCTTTCCTTTAATTCTCTTATTTTAATGCAACTAGTATTTATTTAGTATTACTGCAGTTTTTAATTTTAAGAATAACTTTGAATGAGTAATTAATATCATTATCCAATTTCTTAAAGCTCAAAACATTATAGAACTTTAAAAAAAGGATAAAAATGCCTTTTCAGTTCATTTGAGTATTTAAAGTAAATTACAGATAAAAAGCTAAAGCAAAACTCACATTTTAAGAATACTATATATTAGTCAAACAAAATTACTGCACCACTGTAGCAAGTGAATTCCTTTCCGCATAAATTTAAATGCTATCAGCAAAAATTATAATAACAATAAAATTAGTTTTATATATATTTACGCATTATTTATAGAGTTTTAAATAAATCTGAATTTGCAATACATGAAGTAACAACTATATTACATATTTGCACATTAAATGCAGCAAAACATTAAGGTTCCTACATTTAGGAAAATATACACATAAGAAATAACAAGTATTGAAATAAAAGTAGTGCATTTCCCGCTTCATAAAATACATAAAGGAGTTTTGCTAAATTAAAAGCTTAATGTCTTATAAATAGAATAAACTGTTACTTCGACCTATCTATAGAAAATCATTTCCATGCATTTATAATAAATATGCATGTTATCATAAGTACTGTTGATCATCATACATAATGCAAATAGCATATTTATATTAATAAAACTGAAATAAAACTAACTCTATAATTACTTTTTTGCAAATTGTTTATGCTTGTTTTCCTAGAAAACCACCTAAAACTGAATTAGTAAAAAATGAAACAACAGTATACGCTTGTAAGGATCTTAAGTTTTACTAACGTTTATTTTATTTTAAATCTTTACTATCACTTCTTATTTTCTACTTCCGGCCAGAATTATAAGCGTTAAGGTTTTTATGCAAAGTTTGTCTGGCGAACGCCAAGTATTTAAGTTGTGGCTTTTTGCCAAGCGAGAGAGAGGAAGCAGTGAGTCGAAGCAGGCCGCTTACCTTAGAAGTTACGCATGTTGCTGGTTGCCTTCCAGGCCAGAGGTTTTAATCCTCTTGATAATTTTTAAACGTATTGTAGTGTTCACAGTTCTCTGTACTACATACGGCTTCCTGTTAATATAAGGCCAATCTTCCACGTTTATTATTTTAAAGTTAAATTAGAGTTTAGTTCTATTTTTATATTTTTACGTTAGACCCCAAGTAGCGGGTCTGTGTATTCCGAAGTACGGAAGTTTTTGTAAATAGAGAAAATAAAGGGTTTTGTATACCCTTCTTGTGTATCCTGTCTACTTCCCACAGTTTTGAACATAGCTTTAGTAAGCTCTCTGTTCCGAGTCAGGTCCTTGCATGTTCCCGAAAAAGGTAAGAAGGAACATTGACCCTGATACGCTTGTATATTAATATTGCTGCAGCAGGACATTAAGATTCTTACACTTAATAAATTTGTTTTCTGAAATATTGGTTAAGAATATTCATAACGCTAGTTACACAATAATAAAGGACTTAAAGTTTAATTAAGCATAACAACACAGGACAAAAAATTTTCTTTTTGGCTCTTTCGTAAATTACATTAAAATTATACAACTGCTTCCATTGTTTATTGTTCGTTAGGGAGTATGGATTGCTATTTTCAATAAAGTCAATCATAAATTCTTACTTATCAATCTTTCCTATTTTTTTAATGAGAAAATTTCAAAAATCAGTTTGTTCTTAATTTTTCATACTGGTATTTGCTAAATACCATTTTGATTGTTCTAAAATCAACATTTAGAGCTTGCGATGACATTTCAAAGTTTTACATAAAAGTGTAACAAATACAGAAACTTGCATTGCACGTTTTTAGAGAAATCTCTTTGAGTATATATGTAAACTGAAGAACGAAAAATATTCTGAGTACACAAGTACTATCTCATACATCTATCATTCTTTATTACACTAATCAAAGCTAATAACACTGCTTTCTCTTTTCAGTTGTAAGCAGAAATCGTAAAATACAATTAAAATATATTTAAGTCATCTAAATTTTTAATTAAAAATTAGATTTCCATTAAATCATGAATTTCGCATATAATACAACAAAATAATTCATTCAAATTGCCATAAAAATATGTGTATATATTTCATTAATATTTAAAACATTTTATACAAGAATAAATAAAACTTACCAAACAGTTACATAAACTGAAAGCCTTATTTAAACTGAACACAAATTATCTATTTTACTAAAGTTTGAAGTTTGGGTTTCCTTAAAATGTGTAGTGTCCAGGCGGGTTAACTTCTATCTCTATACTGGAGTAGCAGGAGGATATACTGGAGCTATACTACACAGGAGAAGAGTTCAAAACCTTTATTAACTCTTTAAAATTTACACTGCGTCAACTCGACGCTAACAAACTTCGCCTCTACTAGGGAAAAAGCAGGTAATTGAAAATCAAAAGTTGAAATGTTTAACAAGCGCTAAACTAACCTACAGGGCTCAGCGAGATACCGAACTTCGTCCCCCTTCTAAAACTAATGGCAGCTGATAAATGCATTTAAGCCACTTGAACCAGCAATTGTACCTACGGCAGAGAAGGCTGCTCGAGCCCAACTCTCTCTCTTCTCTTCTAAAACCTCGATATTTAAACTTTTTCTCCACAAAGTAGAATTTGCATTTACGTCACACGCGCTACCAAATTTAACTATTCTGGCACCCATAAATTAGGGGAAAGAAGGCTTATAGGAAAGTCTGAACTAAAATTTAAATTATTAGTTAAAATAAATATAAATCCCTACAAGTGTTTCTCAGCCCATCATTCTTTTGAGTATAGTTTTTAAGCAAAGTATTACATGATGCTTTTATAACAAAATTTAGAATATTTTTCTAAGGTGAATTTTTATTACATTGGTCATAGGTTATGCATTCACTGTCTATTAAAATTTGATACGTTATTGCCATGCAAGAGACTTTGTGATTTTTATACTTTGTGACTTTTATAAATCATCTTGACAAAGCGAACTGTGCACCGTTTTTGTGTAAAGCCAAGTTTGGTGTTATTTTAAAATGTGCTTTTCGTGTTTCTTCAACGGACTTTGATTTATCATCATAACCGCTCTGCTTAAAACAAGGATCAATCTGAATTTGACTTTATGTCATGTGACTTTACGATGTACTTGTTTCTCCTGCTCTATGCACGCTCGCGTAGCTGCTTACTGTGTGTAAGATTTCAGCCGCACATACTCATGTATTTACGAAGGCATTATTGCTTAAAAGGACTAATTGCAGCATCTTTGTTTAAATGCTTGAACTTTCACGAAGGAATGATTTTCCTGACTTGCCACCTGTGTTTCTTAGTTTTTTCGTCCCCAGGACGCGGCACACAAGACAGTGTGCCTTTGATTGAAAAAAAAAAATTAAGTAAGAACCTAAGGGCCAAGATATCTACTGGTAATTACTCTTTGTAGTAGAGGCCAGACTTTAAATTTACGATCCAGATCCAGCCATGCAAGAGATCGCTGATTGCGTACTTTTAAAAACCTGTCTTCATGTTCTTCAGATACTAATTTTTTTACTACAATATAGGTACATGATACGACAATTATTACATCTGGTTGTGACATACCAACCCACGTCAGTCCATATTCAGTATGAAACGATATTCTTCATCCAACCCAAAAGTTTTGTCTAAAGCTAGGTTTTCCCGACAATATCTCATATTTCACAGGCTTCAGAAATCTATATAGGCAATATACAGCGAGATATGTTATGAGTAGCAGAACATTAATAGAATCCTGTTCGTTTTGAGTTACCTGTAACGTACAGAAGGCACTAATAAAATTCTTGTGAGTATTAATGAGGTCAATATTATCTGTATTAGAACTTCATATTTCAATTTTTCCAAACTTTTTTGATTCAAGAATCAGATGTAATTAATTTTGCATTAAGATATTTTAAAGTCAAGCCTTAACTATATTTGATTAATAGTTTACAACTTTCTAGCTGATGCCAGAAGTTTACAACTTTCTAGTTTTAGAGCAGAAAAAGATGCAGTTAGCATTTGCATATTTTCCATAAGAACAGGTTTATTTGAATCTGAGTCGAAAAACGCATTAAAGTCTGGGAAATGAAAACAAGTTTCTTTTCTGGTTGATGTTTATAAACTATAGATATTTTAGGTGAAGTGGCAAAGTAAGAAATTGCTTTTGAATTAATAGAATTGTTATCACTCACCATTTTCGATCACCATAAAAACAATTTCCTCCAGCTTAAGAATTATTTTTTTAGGCACAGCAACCGTCCTTCAGCTGTTACTTTTGCAATAGATAAAATATGAGCAACGTCTTTATAAGACGACAGAAAACTCTGAATCATAAATACGTATGCTGTAGTAGCTGCGTGGACACTCACGTGATATCATATATATTTCCTCCTTTGAATTCAAAAACGACTTCATTCATCAAAAGTGCAGCACATGAGTCATTTTGGTGTAATAATGGGAACTTGAACCCAATATATGACAAAAATTTACTGTCATGCTGTTCCATTTTGGGATTTCGCTAAAATAAAGAACATATCTCCGCAGGGTACTTGGATGCGGCAAGATCATGTTTCCTGAAGACATTATGAAACGATATTCATGAGAAGATACTGGATAAAGCAGTCAACAAAAGATTAAACATCAGTACTGTAATGACTTCGTACTTTTTTCTGCATTAAAAGACCTATTTGTTCATTTCTGAACTGTATCGTATGCAAGTTATCAACACCTGAATTAGTTTCTATATCATCTAGCAGCGTTTGTACCATATGTAGTTTAGAATCGTTTTCATGACAAAGATTACAACAAACAGCATTTGGTTTCTCAATGACTGTTGTAACATTGTTACAGTTACTTATGTTTTTAGGTATGACAGTATTTTCTACCTTTGTTGCTTGAATGCTTTTAATGTAAATATTTAAATGAAGCCCTTCAGACACCACTACTGATGCTACATATACATGGTGCAGTTCGTAAAGTTATCAAAGCAAAAATGATAATGTCTGATTTCTGAATGACTAACCTTTGTTCTGGCAAACTAATTAAGCACAACTTTTCAGAAAGCTCAGAAAGACTAGTAAATGTCTTTTTTTTTTTTTTTTTTTTTTTTTTTTTTTATGGTCTTTTTTGGATTTTATGCTTTCAGTAATTGCAGTTTCTAAAGCCTTGTTTTCCAATCTTTGTTTCTTGCAGTCAAAAACTTTCTCTTTTCTTACAGTATTTCGACAAATAAGCCGCACAATTAGGAAGTTTTGTAGGAACAGCATTGCATGCTAGACGAGGATGCTGTTGTAAAACTGCTGTCACTTTTCTGCCGGTTCTTTCATCGTAGATTTCTGAAACTCTTTCGATGTCACATGCAGCAAAAATGAAGCTCACAGCCCTAATGAAATAAAAGAGACAATTAGAGCCCTCATAAAAATTCTATAAGGAAAAAAAATTCCTTTTTTTTTTTTTTTTAATCTTTCTAAAATGTTGCAATAAATGTATTGTAAGTAAAAAATGTTAGCTTAATTGAAAATCAAGAATTTTTATTATTCAGTAAGTTAAGAAATTTTCTTCTTATAACAAGAAAACAAAATATGTTTATTTTAAAATTTAATGGTTTTGCCAGATTCTTTATTACCTTAAATTCGAAGCTAAATTTTAGTGAACATATAGTTTTAAAATATTTATTATAGTTCAAGAATATATTTAATGGAAATTTCTTCTTTTGTTTACATTTTTTAAATTATAAATACAGTTTTGACTAATGTACTTCATAATGTTTTACAATTGGTCTCTTTTAACTATTACTGAATTTGAGAACAGACGTCAATTGTTCAGTTTTATGTGTGACTAAGTTTTAAAATATTTTGGGCGTAAAATGCTACATTTTTAATATATATAAATTAATATTGTAGTCCTCTTATGTCAATATCACTCCAGATTACTATGGCATGTTCTAAATATTTGTTAGTTACAATACTTAAATTATTTAACGATTTAATTAACATTTTCTAAAATTAACGATTCGTAAAAAGATTAGAATTATAACTAGGATAATCATAAATTTTTTCATTACAAATTTATGTTCACCAAAAAGTATTTTATTATTCAGTTGTGAAAGGTGACAACTGAAATTTTCAAATCATCTGACATTTTGCATACAAAAATATATAGCTAAAATTTTTTTTTCTCTTAATTCTTTTGAAAATATTTCTTACCTAGACCAAAAACAATAGAAATTCAGTTGACCAAAAACTAAATGTTCAGTGAAAATACGATAAAATATATAGTGAACGATATGGAATACATTAAAATATATAATGAGCAGATTGATATTTAGTATGATAGACAGTAATCAAGAAAACATATGTTTCTTACCCTAGAAGCTTTTGTAGGCTGGAAGTTTTTTCGATGGATCGGAGATCTTTCGATCTTTTTCTTTTTTCGGAGATCTGGAGAAACGAAAAACACTTTTACATAAACTGACACTTTTGGCTGGAGTTTCCTTTGCATCCAGGGACGCAACATGTAGCTGGCATGATGTGTGGTTTATTCCAAAACGTAAACGAAAAGCACAAGGAAGAGAAAAACGTTTTCTACAGGAGATACAAAAATACAGCAATGGCGATCAGTCACAACAACACTACCGAAAATGGTGAACATATCAGTCAAATGTCAAGGCTAGTAGTCTCCTCATCGTGATGTAGCGAGGGGAGTTGATAGGGCCTTCTTAACTCTCGGTGGTGTCGGTCCGACCCGAAAGTTGACATAGACAAGTATAATGCAAAAATGTCTCAGCGTCGCAGAAGTCTAATCGCTAGGAAATCAACGATAGAACGGGGCCTTCAAGCAGACAGGCCATTCTCTTAATTCACCTTCCAAAACCCAAACATATTTCTAACTCATTTAAATACACGAGCGCTAGGTCAATTATATACTGGCAAGCAAGCGTAAATTGAAAGCAAGAGCGATAGGAAAGGTTGCTTAAAAATAAAATAAGCGTTAAGTAAATTAAGTAAATCCCCATAAGTTTGATACAGAAAATTTTCAGGCATCTATTTGTGTCAAATAATCAAACTTTTGAAATTTTTAGAGGTTGTTAAGCCTATTGTGAAGGTAACGCCCGAATTAATGCTCTTAGAAACCTTAAGTACTTAAAAGATTTGGGTGCCTCCGCGTATATTTACAATAAAACGCTTATACTTTTTTCCATTTCTCTTCTTTTGATCTTGGTTTAGCTGTACCATAATGTCCATGGTAAAAACAGACATGAGAAATATTTGTGGTGCCCACTTTCCTCCGTTCTTAGGTACCTCTTTGTGGTACCCCTTTTACTGTAGTTCTTTTGTGGGACAGTCAAGTACCTTTTGTGGTGTCCCTTTCTCAGTAGTTCTTAAGTACATTTTTCGTGGTGCTCTAAGGGTGCGCTTATTTTGCTTAATGGTAATCTATCTTTGGTGAATGTATCTCAGATAGTGAAATGTTTTGTAGAGGTATTTAAGAGATATTTCCAAGGATGGGTTTGTATTTTTATCTCTGATATTATAATAGGACGGCGCTTATTGCATCCTTGTTTTGACTGATTGTACTGATAAGCGATCTAGGAAGACTTCAGTGTTGGGTCTCAACATATTCTGCGGAACAGAATGTAGTTCATTGTTAATGGCGGCATTTGCTTCATCAATCACTCGCAAATGAAATGCAAAGATCTGTTAACCGCAGAGTAAATCGCTCGAAATTGTGAAATCTGGTGAGCGGCGTGGTCAAGTAAAATGGCCAGAGCGGAAAATCATGATCTGAGAATGCCTATCGGTTGTAGCTAAACTTGTATTCTCCGCTGCAGCATTCTGTTAGAACTAATATGTATTCACCATCTGTCTTGCCTACAGTTCCGGCGATCTTCATTGTTCTACCACAATATCTATTGAAGGTCTGTAACATAGCCTGTTTGAAAGAATTCAAACTTCGGCCAATCACTGTTATGAATTCCAGAGTTACGTCGCGCGAATTTGCTGGCAATTTGTTTAATGATTAACATTATCTAAATTAAGAAGGCTTAATAACCGCTGCAATATGCAATAGCACTGACCAACTGTCTATGTCACGTTGATTACATGACTTCTTGCTGTCCACTGATATCACACAAGCCTATGGTAAGTCAAATCAATAGACACAACATAAGCCACTCTGTTCAGGATTGAATTTTCAATTATTTCAAAAGTAGTAAATTTGTAATTCTGGTGCAAGTAACATTTTAATATATTATTCGCCTTAATTGCTTTGGATATTAATGATTTGAAAAGATTTCTTTCCTCAGAATAATCCTGAATAATTTGCATAAGGCTGTATTACCGTTATTTTCTATTACTGCAAGATTAGGAAAAAATTGTTTTCTTTAATCAATAAATTTCTTTTATGTGGTTCTACTTTGTATTTCTATTTGGTACTAACGTGTTATCGCAACCACCTGAGTAGAAATCGCCAAACTCTGGCAGCCGTGCTTATAGCAGTTCTTATTTAACCATATCCATTATAAGTTAAATTCTGAAAATTCGCTGGATCTTTTTCTTCTGTAAAATAACGCCAAATTACGCTAAAGCGATGGAATTAATACGTAACTACTTTCTTTTTTGCATATTTAAAGTATTTTATATGTATCATACTTATGAAATTCTGAATATTATTAATTTTCTGTATATTCCGTTTAAAGGATGATCCTGTCGAAGGTTCTGGAAAAACGTAAGTGAAATGTGCTTACACGTTTTTAGTGCTATCTGCATAATATGTCAACCTATTGGAACACAGGTTTTCAAATTTAAATATTTGGGATAAATGTTTGAAAAGTAAAGAAAATTAAGATATACAAAGCATTTATGAATTATATAAGAAAAGCGTAATGTGTTTAATGTTGCTATTATACCGGAAGTTTCTATTTTAGTCTGCTATTAATGTTATAGTAGTCATGCATATAAATAGAATTTAATCTAACCTCCGCTGATTTTCAGTAAAATCCTATCCCTTTGAACTTTACAGTGACGTAATGCACTGAAACTTCGGCCAATCACTGTTATGAATTCCAGAGTTACGTCGCGCGAATTTGCTGGCAATTTGTTTAATGATTAACATTATCTAAATTCGTAAGAATTGAAATGAAATCAGAATGAATTCATTATTTATTTAAAAGCGATCGCCCGTAGTTTAGGAACTAATTGTGCTCACAATTGAAACTTCGGCTAATACTTGGTATGAATTCCAGAATAACGACGTGCGAATTTGCTGGCAATTTGGTTGGTAGCGGACCTCGTTCATATGGCCGATTTTGACTGAAAACCTCATGTTTTTTAATTTAATATTTTTAAGGCCATGTTCTTAGCTATCGAAAACAGATTTTCTCTTCTCGATATGTTGGTTTGAACTGGAGATATACAGATTTTTCTGAGATACAACAAACCAGAAGTAACTGTCTGCCACACCGGAAGTTAAAGTTTAAAGGGGAAATTAAAGGTACAATTTCCACCTTTTTGTGTGTTATTTATAAATTAAATAATTTTAAGCATTTCGATATGTTTGGAGAATCTGGTAAAACATGTTCATTATGTATTTTCACTTTTACGTTTGGCAACAACATTTCAAACTTATTGTTTTGTTTACATTGAGCTTTTCATATTTCGGTTTTGTGAACACATTTCCTGCTCTAATTTATAAGCTAAAGATTCATTTTTCTGAACTTTGTTTATTCTATTTAATAATTAAAAGTTCGAGAATGCCAAAATATACACGTAGTCATTCAAAAAAGCGAAAATTTTACGGCAACCGATACACTAAATATGTGACTGCTGATTCTGGTAATCACAATGAAATTAAAACATCTGTCTGGGCTAGTGAGGCTAAATTATCTGGAACATTTATTGCAAATGAAAAAAGTGATTTTGATGAATGAAAAGGTAATCATAATGTTAATGTTTCTATTCTTTTAAATATTATACTCTCACTTTACTATCGATGTAGAACGCAGGAGCATTTTTAATGAATATATGTGTATATAATGTCATGTAGCAAGCTGAAAACTTTAAACGTGATTTTTGATTAATAGTTTTTTCATGATTTATGTTCACGGCAACCATGATAACTCTAAACGCTCATTATAGAATCACCTGATATTTTGCACACTCGTTTTATACATTATTATGCATAATTTAGACTAAAATTTTAAAACTTAATCCAATAGAACTTAAGTTACATCATTTTTTCTTCAATTGCGTATGTATTTTGTAAAACAAAATTAGTGTTTACTGACATATTTGGCCATATTTTGCTAGTAAATCACTATTTTCAAATTATTATAGTTCAATGCATGCTTCTGGGTAGTATGCATAAAATATAGTACAAAATAGATTTTTATCAACAATATTTTCTTGTCAGTGATTGTTGATGTTTCTATAAACTTTGTTATAAAATTTTCAGCTTTTTGCATAAATTTCTCAAATTAATGATTTTTTTATCGCTTTTGCAGTGATTACATTTAAGTTTGAATACAATTCATTAAAAAATCACATAAATTTAAAAATATAACAGACATTTTGAAAAACGCCCTTCGAACGAGGTCGGTTACCTAAATGATCAATATTATCTAAATTCGTAGAACTACAAATGAAATCAGAATGAATTTATTATTTATTAAATAACGATTTGTCTATAGTTTAGGAACTATTGTGCGAAAAGAAACTTACTAAATTGAGCTCCATGTACAATGTTCTAAATTGCTGAGCCAGATATTTACTCTTAACAAGAAGAATGGAAATTTAATTTGTAAAAATTCAAAGATATTCATAGAAAAAGCTCATTTCATTTCATTCACTGTGAAAAAAGGGGGCTAATACGAATCTTTTCCCTTAATTAGTATTTCTTTAGTAGAATCCTTAACAATGTGGCAGTCTAGGAACTAAGCCGAATTTCAATTATCTTTGACTAGTTATTCGGCATTTTTTACCAGTTGCAAGATATCTTCAATGCAAAGACTTAAATCTTACCTACTAACTTAAATCGTTTACTCATTAAACTTAAAGTAAACTCTAACTTAAATCATTTACTCATTAAACTTAAATCGTTTACTCATTAAACTTAAACTAAACTCTAACTTTAATCGTTTACTCATTAAACTTAAACTAAACTCTAAATTTAATCGTTTACTCATTAAAATTCATTTTGTGCTTCATGCTTTCTTCTAGTCACGTAGGGAAGAGTGTGCAGAATTTCATCTTAAACTGGTATTATTTGTTGTTAACCTTTAAAATCTAACTTATCTAAGTTTCAAACTGTACACAAAGAAATATCTATTAGAGATGGCTGATTGAGTGTCTTGCAATTCTTTGCCTTCCTCCGATGATATACCTTATGATTAAAGTGACCACACGTCCCGATTTTGGCGGGGCAGTCCCGCTTTATGGAGGACTATCCCGAGTCCCGCCGATTTTTTAAAATGTCCCGCTTTTTAGAAAATGTCTGCCTTTCTTATTTTAAATGTACTGTAAAAATATAAGTTATCTATTATTATTAATTATTATAGTGAAATATAAAGAAATAAAATATTTATATATATACAAAAAACACATAAAATGCATGCAGAGTACACTAAATTAAGCGATGTAACGAGTTAGATTTACTCGGCGGTGTTCGATCATTGTAGTTACGTCTCGCCAAGGAATATGTATTGTTAACGGAGGAACAGCTAGCATTAGCTGAAGGGTTATTTGCTTTTCACACCATAAACCACAATCAAAGTTTCAGATCAATTGATTGTACGTCCAAATGATCATAAAATTGTGCGACAAAACATTTGCATGTGCAAGAAAAAAAAACGAAGAAATTATTTGTAATGTTTTTTCACTATATTCGTTTTCACAATTGCAGAAAGAATTAGATAAATGCACATTTATATCTATATATTATGGGGCTTCCAACTACAGAGATTTTAAATTATTTCCCATAATTGTTAGACTTTTTGATCCAGAAACAGGAATTTAAAAAAATTAGAACATTAGAGTTTGGGTACTATCCCGTTTTGAGGACCGTAAAAAAATTGCAGTGAAAATATATGCGCAAAAGCGACAAATCTAGCAAAAGCGCCCATTTAACAGCGCGCCAAATCTAGCGTACGCTCTGATTTCAGATTGCGTAAGTTTATATATTTCTATATTTCTTAAGACGCCACTGAAATACTAGTTTAATTTTTAAATCCTTTTTTTATTTTAAATCCCTTTTCGATATCCTATCTGGATTTAACAATTTGGGAAATTGCCCATGACGAAAAGTTCTGCAATTAGAATTTTGGGTAAAGTGCAGAATCACCCACTACTTGACGCGTTTTTAAGAATTGCACATACTCGGTATCCATGTACACATCGACCTATTTTCCCTTAAAAAAAAAAATCCCAGAATTGCACAAAAATGACACTGCGCACACCCTTGACTTTATCTATGTATACATCGATCTATTTCCACTTAAAAAGTAAAAGAAAATTGACAAAAGTCCGATTGTTTTTACCCTTGTAAAAAGCGGCAAACAGATAAGTGAGAGATTCTGCACTTTACCGAGAATTGTTTCAAAGAAAAGGCATCATTCATTATAGAAAATTATGTTTGAACAACCAACGAGATGAAATTATGCTTTAGCGATAACTCGGTAACGAAATAGCGATGCAGGCATCCATTCAGTTATGTTTAGCAAATTTCATATAAATTATAATAATAATCTTAAATAGTTATTTACTCTTATGCTTCCATTCAGTCATGTTTAGCCTTTTTTATATAAATTATAATAATAAAAAATATTATATGAAATTAGCCTTTCATCTAAATTAAAACATCTAAATAGTTATTTAATATTATACTTCCTTTCTTGCGTTAGGGTTGCCGCAATTTTTTTGGCACCACTGGCATCAACAATAGTTTGACGATTTTTTACGGCCCTCAAAACCGAAAAGTACCAGATTTTGTTTCATTGCCGAGTGAAACTTCACAATAAGTACTATTTTTTTATTCAATAAGTACTATTTTAAAAAAGAATAATTTGAACAATAAAGTTATTACATATTGCGAGGATAACATTAACGTAAATTTTGGTAGAGAAGCTAGAAGAGGCATCAATGACGTTTTTACGAAAGTTAAACGAACATTTGAACCAAAAATTTATCAGAGTAGGTTGCGCAGCGCATATTCTACACAATACTATTCAAACAGCATCTGACTTACTTCCAGTGGATGTTGAAAATATTATCGCAAAAATTTATTCGTATATATATATATGTGTGTATACTGTGCGTGTGGAAAGTTTGAAAGATTTTTGTGAAAGCGCAGAAATCGAATATAAAAGAATTATTGGTTACAACAAAAACACAATGCAGCTAGCTCTTTTACCAGCTGTAGAAAATATTAAAAAATATACGAAACATTAAAATCATACTTTTCATCACAAAATAAATGTCCAAGAATATTGCAGCTCTTTTTTGAAAATGACACATCACAAGTTTGGCTGCAGTTCATCCACAACCAACCCAAGCAGCACATGACGTAGCAAAGACGCTGCAAACTGGTCCAAGAGGTTGCAAAGTGGTAGTAGTGGCAACGTCTTTGCTACGCCACGTGCTACTTAGGAAGCTACATTATTTCACAATGCTGTGAAAATTATTGATGGGGACAAAATTTCAATTACGGAAGTGTCAAATGAAATCAATAATTTG